GATGCACTTCATGGCCCACGCTGAACAATGCCAGGTGTAAGAATTATGCCTTATGCCTGTTAGCAATTTTAAACATATAACAAAGGCTCCTAAAACTATAGAGAACTTTAAAAATGAAATAAAGAATAGGAGAAATATTATAAGCTAATAACAATTCACCAGTTCAACTAATATCTGTCCACTTGTGAATACCAACTGCACCTTACTTGTAAACCGCATGTGTTTGTTATTTTCCTGTGTACATCATAAATCGTTGTCAATTTTACTTCCTGCATTAGTTTTCCATCCTTGATTGTATGCTGATTAATCTCACCAACTGTATATCTGGTTACTTCCTGATTTATTTTGAAATTTCTGTATGTCTTAGACCTCACTTAGTTACACTTCCAGCCTTTGCTTTGTTGCCCTACCATGCCTGTTTTCAGTTAGCCACTGGTCTTAGTATATACAGCTCCAGCTTTGCGCTAACCACTTGTCATCTGGTAAACTTGCTTAGTCAAGCTCCCCAGCATTCCTCATGATTTTGTTATTTTCCCTTGTGAACTTCTCATTTCCTTTTGGACAGCTCTATGGACTTTGCCTTTTGACTACACCCTCCCAAACTGGATTTTACTCTGCCCATGTGTATCCTGCATTGGGTTCTCTTCCTGATTTTTACACTACGATCTGGCCAGTATGAACCCAGATGCTACTTTGTTTGCTGGGGAATTTTATGATTTTATCATTTACTCTAATCTGTCTTCATGGTGAATCGAAGAGAGCTCTTAATTGGTATCTTAAAAAGACTATACAGAGAGTAGTGTCTTTTTTGGCTGGTTATGTGGTCTTATGCTCCTAACCATCAAATGCTCTAGCCTTTCCAAGATGATAAGGTAAAACACTGGGTGGCTGAAATGACTGAAGCTTCCCTGCTCCAAAGCCCCATGGAAACTCAGCTGCCCAGCACTGCAAGTGGATAGACTGACTCGACTTGTACCTCTCCTGTTTCCACATCTGTCACTGGAAGTCTGTTCAGAAGGCAATCAATGGTTCCCATGCTCTTGTGTCATAGCCAGCTACTCATTCTTGAGTAAGTGAGGTGTCCCAACTGGCTTTCCTGTATTTAGGCAGCTCATTTGAACTCACCTAGTCATGATCTGATCTGATCCCCTGGCTAGGGCAAAGTTTCTTTTTTTGCATCAAAATTGGGATTTGTTCTAGAAAGTTATAAGCAAACTAACCCCTCTGAAAGGATTCTCAAAAATGTGGTTTTGGACAGCATCTTGTATGTCCTGTATCAATCAAGAACCCTATCACTGCAATGAAAAGTGATCCCTTCCTAATAATATGCCAAAAACACTTTAGAAACTCCCATCTGAAACTTAATTTTAGGTTACTTTGATATCAAAATGCCCAGCATCCACAATGACCAAGACACATCAACATTCATAGAAATAAGCTTCTATGACAGGGATGTCCAACTCCAAGCCTCAAGAGCCGGTTTCCTGCAGGTTTTAGATATCACCTTGGGTCAACAAACCTGAATCAAATGATTAGTTCATTACCAGGCCTCTGGAGAACTTCAAGACATGTTGAGGAGGCAATTTAGCCATTTAAATCAGCGGTGCTGGATAAAGGACACATGTAAAACCTGCAGGACACCGGCTCTTGAGGCCTGTAGTTGGACAGCCCAGTTCTATGGGAATTGTACTGGCATCAGCCCAATCTACTTCTATCAGGATAATGCTATTTTTAAACAAATATCCAACACTAGCAATGACAGATGTGTCTCACCAGAACAGATGTTTTCAGAACTTAACACAGCTCTTCTCACTATTACGACTAAAGGCATCATATAAACTATTCAGACTGTGTATGCCACTGCAGCGATCCTGAAGACATGTAGAGACATGTGGGTAGATCACACTTGCAGGTTGCACTATTTTTTTCCCCTTGCTTAGTTGACTAAGAAATTAGTTCCAAGGAATATCCCTAATTCTGAGAATGAGGATACGCTCACTTTTCTTAATTGCAGCAACCACATACTCACTCATTGCACATTTAAACACACAGGCTGTGTCCAAATTCAGGGGCCACATCCTTCAGAGGACCAAGCCTATGTAGACCAGGTCCTTACACATGAACACACACTCCTCTTAATGTTTCACCAGTCTGATGAAGGGCTAACATTAAAAACATTGTAATTTCTAAAAGGGAAACCAATGAGTAGTTAATTTTAAAACACGTGTGTTTTTTCTTTTTTGAATATGAATGTGAGGTGGCCAGGTGTTGTGGCTGGAAAACAAGCTCAAACCATCACCCCCCTCTACCACGCTTAACAGTTGGTATGAGTATTGTATTTGTATTTGGTTTTCTCCAAAAGTGGTGCTGTTCATTGTGGACAGACATCTCAATTTTGGTTTTGTCTGTCAGAATGACATTGTTCCAAAAGTCTTGTGGCTGGATGAGATGCAAACCTAAGCCATGCTGTCATATTCCTTTTTGAGAGAAAAGGTTTTCATTTGGCAGCCCTTCCAAACAAGCCATACATGTTCAATTTCCTTCTTATTTTAACATACTGAGGCCTGTAGAGACTGAGATGTAGCTCCTGTGTTTTTTGCATTTTCTCAAAACAGTGCACACTCTACCCATGAGTTGAATTCACTAGGACACTGACTCTTGGGAAGATTGGTAGCTGTCTTGAATGTTTTCCACATGGGAATAGTCTTTCTAAAAATGGTTTTAAAACCCTTCCCAGATTGGTGGTGAGCAACAGTTTCTCTAAGACCACTGATGATGTATTAGCATTGTGTTACACACCTATTTTTGCTTAGTTTTTTTCCAAAATAAATAATGACATTGTATGTCATGTGTTCAAGTTTTATTTACATAATTTCAGCACCTGGTAAGCACCAAATGAATTTTTTTATTATGTTCTCATATGTAAGACCCTAGAATTCACCTGGAGGTTGTTCTCCATACATGGATTAATGTTTCTGATGGATGAAATTATTGACAATTTGGCATAATACCAGCCAGTATTACAGTTAGTGTGATGCCATCACAAGGTAAGCTCTGTTTCTTTTTATTCTTTATACATGTTTCATTTAATCATAAACAACCCAACAACATTAAGGTTTTGTGTGATTTTTAAATTAAGTAAGAGCTGTATTTTCTTCCAGTCTCCTCATTGGTGTGACTGAACTCCCCAGGCATCTCACACAGCCATGGGAATTGGCTTATGTCTAAAACAAATGATTTCTTGTGGACTAGTGGCTGCACATGTTGTCTTGACCAAATATGGCTGAGTTAAAACACTACACTCCAACCACGGCAACACATTGGAATGGAAGCAGGTTTCCTTAACTGGTGTGAGAATAGTCCACAATACAACTTCCAAAATGGGATTTTACTCTGTTACCTGAATTCTGTATGGCTGGTAGATTAGCTCAGATTACTACACAGCATGGCCTGAACCTTGAATACTGGAGGCCTTTCTTCATTTCTTTACAGCCCAGATCACAGTGTTTCACCAGTGTATAGTGGCTTGGCAGTTAAAAGTTAGCTTCTGCTACACATGTGAAGCTGGTTAATGAAAAAAATCCACACACACAAGACATATAAGACTACATCAACTAACAAATAATCTGTTCAACTAAAAACAAACACAACACTCAGGAAGGCAAAGACAACAAGTCACAATAAGCTGAGTGATTGGATTTCTGTTTAGTTCCAGTTTACGTTTTGTTCTTACTTTTGTAAGACCTCATGATTCTCTATCTTTATCTCTTGCTCACTCGCCTCCACTTAAAATAGTTAGATTTTTACTTATTTATTTTTGCTGTGGTTGTGGTCGAAAATGTGCAGTGCACTGAGAGCATGCCATCTTGTGCATATATTAACTGTTCCCTTATATGTGTTCTGGTGTCAGATAGTTATTTATATTTTTTTTTCTTTGCACTTCTTTTTTGAAAGGTAAGCATTGAATAAGCAACCTAACATGTAACAAAACTCCTTATTTAATGAACACAGGCTGATCTTTACAAGTTCAAAAAAGAAGGTGAAGCATTTACTGAAGACATTACTTTTCAGTGAATGATAAGCGTTTATTTATCCCAAAATATGGGAAATTGTGTTACAGCAGCATGATATAAAAAAAAATGAAAAGATGTAAAAATCTAATGAGATACAAGTTTAAATACAAAATGAAGCAGTTATTAATTGTTATAACATTCTTTTAATCAATTAATGTAATAAGCAATTTCACAGAGACAAAAATGCTTTTGTTTGGTTTTTAGTTTATTTATTTACTTATTTTAGGTGAGCCTGCCTAAAAATGTACAGCTCCTAATTCTTCCAGGCTAGTTTCTACAGGCCGTCCTTCAGCCTGTAGAAAGTACCCTTTGTTTTTTCCTTTATTGCTCGGTGGTTAGTAGACATATCTGCATCCAAATTCCTTCATTGTGTTGCACAACACATCACAGCGGTGTAAGAATTTACACCCAGAGGCGATATTTTTTCTTGTTCTAACAGCTGCACAACACGCCCAGGACACTTATGAGCGGCCTACAAAATGACTGTGATGAACTGAACTTGCATGCTGTAGGTCAAAAGGGGAACAATACAGCTGTTAACTCCTTTTAACTTTGACATTCAAACTATTTCATAGTATAAAGGTAACTTATATATATCTCATCAAAATGCGCGTATTGTAGGGAAGCATGAGAGGACAGTGACACGGCGCACAGAAAATTCAGATGTGTGTGCGTGTGTGTGTGAGAGGTGGTCTCTTTTGGCGCTTGATACTTTCGATTCGTCTCCCATTTGTGTGATTTAACTTCTGGGTTATCATATACACTACCGTTTATGCGCTCTCTACATTAGAAGGCCCAAATCTGCATACGTTTACTAATCTGTCTCGCTTCCATGTCGAGTCTGTGGTGACGTCAGGGACTTCGCGTTTTAAAAAAAACGAAGAAAAAAGCTAGAAACTTTTCAAAGTTAGAAACATTCAGTCTGACCTGGGCGCGTTAATCCACTCTCGTCGACGGCCACTCAAACACGGAAAACAGAGCTGATTTAACGATCCTTAAATTAACTCCCGACAACAAATAAAGTTTTCCACCAGGGGAAAGGCCAGAAGACGACTTTTTCTCAGTTCCTCTCCCTATCCCTCGGCAGCGGCTTGCGAAAAACTCCACCCTGGCTCAGCGCGTCGACGCACAGAGGGGCGGTGTAGAGTTCGGGTACTGTTCTGCTGCAGGCGAATAACACTGAGGGTGTTTTCATACTTTTCTATTTTGTTTCCAAACTCTGTCTTGTTTTCAACACTAAACCAACTCAATTTGACTCTTAATGGCACGGACTGTGCTGGAGGAGACCGCGGAGACGTTCAGATCTGCTTTGTTAGGGTTTCCGGGTAGACAGACATGTTTCCTTCAAACGTTGGCCAGCTGCATTTGAAGTTGCCCAGGATGGTTCGGTGGGTGTGTCAAAAGTGTCAACATCGTCGTATTATAAAGCTGGTGTGCGCACGCAACGCTGGGGCCACATAACGGTAAAAGTGTCAGCTCCTCGAAACTTCAACCTATCTTACTTTTTCTTTGGCCTGAACACTGCTCGCATCCGGCTGTCATCACTGACAGTGACGGGACTGAAACCCAGTGTTTCTCTTCTGTAGCCCTCTTTTTAATGTTCTCTTTGATTAGTAATTTTTTAAAAAGTTTTTAAAAAGCTACTATCTGCAATAAAAGCAATAATAACAAATTAACATTCAAAAGAAGAAGAAAGGTGGAGAGGTACATATATTTTTAAAATTCTGTTGAAGTCTTGGGTGGCTTTCTGACTTGTCATTCCTTGTCTTACAAAGCTCTTGAACCTGCGACTTACTTTCTCACCATCTGCAAGGATATAAATATAAATTTTCAGATAAAAAAACAAAGATTATTTTTCATTAAATAAATCTTAATCACATATTAAACACAGTTCGTTTGTCTCTTTATTATTATTATGTTATTATAGTATTATAATATTATATTATGTTATATTATTCAGTCAGTGTCAATAGTCACTCAGTATTAATTTGCTGTTTTTAGGGCAAGGTATATTTTCTGTGATTATTGCAAGACCTGTCTAATGTTCAAGCTTAATACAAATGTTCTGCAAATTAATATTAATTAAAAAAGATGAGAACTGTAAAAACAGATTCTGTATACATACTAAATGCTTCAGTATGCAACTCTGCAAGTTGCAAGTACTAGTGGTGAATTAAGTTTAGTGAAATGTTATTTAAAATCAGTGAAGGAAAATGGATAGATGGCAATTTCTTCTGTCAAATAAGCAACTTACTAAAACAAATTAGTCATCTATTTTGCCACCTAAACAGACATTTTGTGTTCTTTTATGGCAAATTATTTTGGATAGATGTACAGAAATAACAGAAAATTACCATTGTGTAAAAACATAGACATTTTCCATCATTTTAAAGCAGTTTTACTGCTTTAAGTAACCCGAGATCTTGTATATTTCTGCATATGTTTTATTTTAATTCAAAGCTATTTACACATGTAAAAACAATTACATTAGCATTGTTACCATGCACACTCAACATCATGGGTGAGTAGAGTTAGTTTAACAGCTTAATAATTAGCTGACAATTCTGTTAACTACAGTGTTGCAGTTAGTAGTTAGAGGATTTAAAATATAATAACTCTCCTTATTATTTGAAAAAAAAAAATATCCAGGAAATATTGGCAATTTAGAATCTAATCAAAAACTAGATTCTTGAAAGCCTCTAATAGACAACAGCATTGTTGTATCTATTCTAAATTTAATGCCACATAAATGATGCACAATAAATCCCACATCCCGTTTAGTTGTGATCCTTGCAAAATCATAATCACAAATTCCTTAATCTATTAAAGAGGGAGACACATTGTTTTCCGCAGTGTGAAGTATATATGAGGCGGGAAAACATTAGGTGTTTCCACCTATTAGAACAGGATAACAGTATGTTTGCATTTTAATCTGAACTTAACTTAAGATGTTTTTAGTCTTTAGTTAATCAGTCTATCCCAGCCTCTCCTAGGGCAAAAGGTGGGCTATACCCTGGACAGGTCGCCTGCACATCACAGGGCTAACAGAGACTGAGAACCATTCACACCCATCACTGCAAGCCTTTGGACTGTGGGAGGAAGCTGGAGCACCCAGAGAGAACTGACGCAAACACAGGGATGGGCCTAAGGTGAGGCAACAGTGCTAACCACAGCACCACTATGCTGCCCACAACAATCCAATTCTGATAACTAACCTAATTATGAGAAATTTAATGGTGTGTGTTCATTACATTTCCAAAGCATTTCAAAAACAAAAAAATCATACCACCAGTAAAATATGGTGGAGGTAGTGTGATGGTGCCATGTTGAAACTGTATTTTCTGTTTCCTTGTGTTATCTTTGTCTAATATTTAAATGTGTTTGATTTGAAACATTTAAGTGTAACAAACAATTGAAAAAGAGGAAATCAGAAAGGCAACCCCCTTTTTTATATCACTTTATGTTCAATTTCTCAAGCACTTTGATATATAAATAGTCAAATGATGACAAATATGAGGATGATGGTAGATTTATCAACTCAATTTATGCCAATCTAATGTATGTATGTGTAAGGCAGTGACTGGAATACATATGTAGTCACCCTCATTCTACAGGAATAATAAAGGATTCTTCCATGTTTTGTATAAGTATGACAAGCAGCTACAGGAAATTTCTGATGGAAGTTCCTGCTTCTACGAGGTTGTCAAACTACAAGTTACTGAAATGAAATTGTTTGGCTGCTTTCTGCTTGCACTGTTTGCAACAGAAACCTAAAAGTACACATGTAAATTTGTGTAAATTTAACAACTAAATTTAATTAGAAGATCAGACTGCACTTTCAAGAATGATAGGATAAATTACTCAAATTCAAGAAGGTTTACAAAGGATTTCTAGCAGTTGTTTGTACGGTACCTATATTTTTCCCCCCTGAAACACTGATTAGATTGGATGAATGTAAATTTCAGATTTCTTAAAAAGGGCCACATCACAAGAATAAAACCTTGCAGGCACTGGCTATAATGTTTCCATGACATTTTTAAATAATCTTCTTTCCCCTTTTTGTTTCCTGTAATAAAGTGAACTGTTTCTGTACACATAGAGGCAATAAATAACTTGCTTGCTATTTACTTCTGTAAGTGAACAGAACAGGTTTAGAAAATAACAATGAATGACAATGCAACCAATGACCTTACCCAGTTTAATGAATTAGACTGCAAATATGAAGTTTCAGCTAAAGTTCCCTCTGTCCAAGAACATGTCTTTTCTTGTCTGACCAGTTTCTCAAATTCACACAAAGTTCTTCTAAAAATGGGAAATTAGAAGCCATAGACAGTTTGATATTTTTGATTTATTTATCAGTGAAATGTTTAACACTATTAAACATTTTCTTACAATAACCCCTCAATAAATTGATTGGTGTCTCAACAAAATAAAACCAGGTATGTGTTACAAAGTATACAGTATGCTACAGTGCATATTTTCTTTTTTTTTTCTTTTTACAGATTTACATTGGGTTTTAGATATTTGGCTCCCGGAATCAGAAGTTTAAAGATAACGCACCATTTGCCTACTGGAAAAAGCTCCTCTTTATATAGCATCATTTTGCCTCTTGTGTTGAACTGTTCTGGTTTATGATGACCAAGTGACATTGTAAAGTCAGCACCTCCATCATATGCTGTGACAGCAGTACAATTTTAAATCATAAAAACAGGTGACACATACTCTTCGTTCTGTTTCATTAGAGGAAAACCTGAAGTCACATCATCACTGGTTGGCAGCTGTCAGAATCAATCATGCTATGTCTATGTCTGTTTATGGTTCTCCCAAATATAGCTGTTCATGAAATATAAAAGTTGAAATAAAGGATAACTAAAATAAAATATTGTGGTAACAGACTCTGCTCAGGTTTACTGTCCTGCAGTAACACATGAAGACAAGGGGACTCCAGCTGTTTGTAGTCCTCCACTAATGGAGATTTAATCATAATTTTGCACGGCACAGCACTTTCTGTTGCTATTCATCTGATCTCTATTGTCTCGCATAGTTTCCAAACTGCTGGAACTTAATAATTCTCCAAGTAAGTGCAGAGTACTTTCAGTTGCTGACGGCTCTTTCAGAGCCAGCCGTGGCTGCAGGCATACGAGGCATCTTCTTTACTGGACTTGGGATGTGCTGAAAGAAGAAAAAATAATCAACATCATGAAACAATTCATTACTGTCCATATATTGCATTTTGACAAGTTAGAGCCCTCTGATTATATGGGAGAAGCAATGCTGCATGTGCAGGGGGATTCTTTCGTAGATGGGGAAAAGGGCTTCAGTATCTTGTCTAGGTACACCAAGACATGCAGAGAGAGAATGCTGACAAGCTTTCTCTTCTGAATCACAGGTTCCTCCACATTTATGTTTTACATAAACCGTCATCCATCCAAGTGCCCAGGAACACTTTTCAGGAAGCCAAATGGTTCCTTCAGACCACTGCTTGTTTGCATTTCCACTGAGAAAAAGAACCATCTGACCAGTTTAAATCTGAGATGACAAGTGTGGTAGTGTGATAGAATGCCACCAGTGGAATTTCTTTCCCATTCCACAGTACTCTCTTAGTTGTATTAAAACAAAGTGGAAGTGATTAGGAATGACAGCCACCAAGCGGTACGCCGTGTAAAAATCTGAGGATGCTGAGGTGCAGAGTTTGCAACATTCTGCAGAATCAACACCTCCAAACTTCCTGTGGAAATTAGCTCAAGGACAATGTGCAAAGAGCTTCGTGGAACGCATATCCCTGGATGAAAACTTATCCAACCCTTTCACCACCAAGTGCAATGCAAAGCAGATCATTTGTTAGAGCAGCTGAGACATGTTCTCTCCAGTTACAAATCACGACTCTCTGTTTGGCAATTCAATGGACAAGTCTGGGTTTGGCTGTTGCCAAAAGAACTTTTAATGTATTGGGGATTATGGTGTGGGGTTGTTTTTCAGGAAGGGCTCAGCTCCTTAGTTCTAATGAGAGGAACTCTTAATGATTCAGCATCCAAGACATTTTGGACAATTTGATGCTCCCAACTTTTAGAGACCAGTTTGGGGAGCCCCTCTTCCTGTTCCGACATGACTGCACACCAGTGTACAAAGCCATGTCCATAAAGACATGGATGAGGGAATTTGGTGTCAAAGAACTTGACTGAGTCCTGATCTCAAACCTATAGAACACCTTTGGGATGAATTAAAGAGGTGACCATGAGCCAGGCCTTCTCACCCAACAGCAATGTCTGACCTCAAGAATGCAATTCTGGAAAGGGAAGTGTCTAATGGAGGCTCCTGCCACAAATAGTGGACTGACATTACATTAAACTAGATGGATTAAGGAAGGGATGTCAT